GCTACAACCAGCAGCCTGTTAGCTTAGCACAAAGACAAAAACTGGGAACAGCCTGGTTCTGTCCAAAGATTAATACAAATCTGCTAATTAACATGTTATATCTCATTTGTTTATCAAAAAGTGTAAAAACAACAATAAATAGACTATGTTTTGGCCGGTAGCAGTAACTTCCTTGAGTCTCAGCTGGTTGCCTGGCAACTGGTCCGGCACATACCTGCCCCTTTAAACGGCAAAATGCTTATTTTTACACTTTTCTTTTTGTACATATGAGCTTTAGAGATAATGATAAGCAGCCATTGTTACAGTTTGACAGAGCCAGGCTAGTTTGTTTCCCCCTGTTTTCAGTCTTTGTGCTAAGCTAAGCTAGCTGGCAGCTAGTGCTAGCCTCTAGTGACCTCTTCTTTACATCTTTGCCAGAAAGCAAATGAACGTATTTCCCCAAACTTCTTTCATTAAATTACGAGCTGTGTGAAATTTGAAAACACCACCACCACCACCACCATAGCCCTTAACAGCTGAAAAGGGGATTGTGTGTATTACTGACAGTGATATTCAGCAGGCAACCATTTCCTCGCTCTGTGTGTAATTCAGCAGTATTAGCAGCTGGAACCTGGAATAGTAACACTTCTATGTGCCTGTGCAGTTCACTCATCTAAGTAGTGCAGTAGATTCATTGATCAAAAAGGTGCTTGACTTCATTTAATTTCACATTATTGTATTTACCTGAAGTCTCCTCCAGTTTATGCTCTTAACTACACTGATACAGAGCTGTTGGATTAGTTTATTTGATGTTTTACTCAATCTGAACCTGAAGATAGGAGTGGTATGCTTAGCAGTAGTTTTTTTTTTTTAGGCAATTAACGTAAGGTGCCGTCGTCACCCGCAGTGCCGACATCTAATTTAAAGGAGCAGATGTGAAAATGTCTCCCACCGCACAAGTTCAGGCAGAATTTCCTCAACTGTATTTGTACGATTCTCCAATTTAGTATCTGGACGTGAAAAGTTGTTCTAAGTTTCTGATAAATATTCAGCATAGGAGGATTTAAAAAAAAATAAAAAATAAAAAATTAAATCCCCACCACTTGAATTGGTTATGTCACATGATCATCACCACCACAGCACCATCACAAAATAATGCACTGCCCTTTTGACTCTACAACCTACTGTTCTGACATTTTGTTTTGATTTTATTTATTGTTTTAAGCCAGTAAAGACCAGGGACTTGGTGCCATGATAATTCTCTTACAGTGCTATTGTGTGAAATTATAATCACTTGTTATGGAATAATTTTTATAGTCTTTTTCACACCAGACCTTTTTTTTGTATTTGTACAGTGGCTTGGTGATACTGATATGTTGCCATGAGTTATTGTAACCAATAAAAAGCTTCTAACCAAGAATACAAATCCTGGCTGATTTCCTTTACAAAAAAAAAGTCTGTGCCATGAACTATATATACAGTATTTGCCCTTTATATAAATGTTAAGCAAGGTTATTTTGTAGTGGATTAGGGGTTAACTGTAGAAGAAATGTACTCAAAAACAACCATTTGAGGAGAAAAGGGACAACTTGATTCATGCAAAGCACCCAAAACAAGGTCCAAAGGAAACTGGCTGTGTAGTTTGAATAAGTTCTTTTGGTGTGTAATATTTAAACTAAAGAATAATACTAAAAAAAGTATTTACATATCTGTTGCTTCTTGGCAGAAAAGTTAGCATTGGACAAATGATTATTTTTACAGTCAACTGACACAGGTTTACTTTTAACAGGGAAGTTTCTTCATCATAGATGTTTAGAAAGAGGGTTTTTTTTTTTTTAACCAAACGCTGAACTGTATTTATATTTCAATACTTAATATCCTCTGATGTTTCATTTTAGTAATTGCTTTCACGTGTGAAACGAGTGTAAAATGTAAAAAGAACAGCTGCTCTCACACAATCACTACCTGCAGTTGGTGCAAAGGTCGAATTGCAGCAGCGGTTAATTTCCCTGCCTGTACATGGCATTGACTACACGGCTGTTGGCAGGGCTACTTTCCTGTCCCATCGGTGGGGGAAGGCTGGAGTTGAAAAACACAAATCCTTGTGGACTATGCATCAAATATTTAAAAAAATTAAATCAAATGAATGCACAAAGTCAGTTTTAGATTATGGCAGATTTAATACAATGGGACACATCTGTAGGTACACACACTTAGGAAAAAAGAAATGTAGACTGGTGTAATTGTCATTAAATAAAACCGGATATTATAAAATATATGAGGATTTCCAAAGCCTTTAAACTATACAGTTTGAATTCTTATAAAATAGAACATGAACCTACAGTATGTTAAAGACATGCTTTCCCTTTCTACTCAAATGATTTCTCATTGAACTTAGACTAACTAGGTCCTTATGAATTTTTTTTTTTTTAATTAAATATATATATATATTTTTTGCTAACATACAGCAGATCATGTACCTGGACAGATGCAGGAACAGTCTTACAGACACAAACTTCATTTGCTTCTCAAAAGTTAGTCAAAAAAAGGCATATTCACAGTTCGAAGCACGTTAGTGTCAAAATATAGCACCCGACCGGTAGCCTTCTCGCCGACCGAGACTACATCACCACCTCGCGGAGCGTCTTTGCACATCATGAGTCCATTTGTTTGTTTTATAGGCAGTTTGTTTTACAGTTTTTTTTCGAGCACCTGAATGGCTGAGAAGGAAAGGAAGAGAGGAAAATACTGCCATGTCAGTGCCATCACCTTCCTCCGTCCGCCGAGAGTTAAGCTACAGATCGTTTTCATTGTCGATCAATCTTCTTTTGGTTTTTGATTAATTGAATACTCAACAAAATGTCAAACAAAACATGAAAGTTTCCCATTAAGTTTCCCATAACTGGACTATTTGGTGTGACAAAAAAAACCCAACACATTACATTTTTACAAATGACACAAAAGGGGCCAAATCTTCACACTTTAGTGGCTGCAGAGGTTGGATGTTCTCGCCTAATAACATTTCATTGATTACCAAAATACCTAGAAACTATTTGCAGTTGATAGGTCAAATCCATTCATTTTCTCAACACTACAGTCCACACAGAAACTGCAGTGTAGTTCAGCTGATGAGGACTGGGAGCGGGTGAGGCAGCGCCTGACTGAGGAATGATTGGCTCAACAAGAACCAAACTCTGGAGCGAAGAAGAAGAGCAGCTCACTGCTGATGCTGCAGGTACTGGTTTGTGAACTCCTCCAACTGTCTCTCCAGGGCTGTCGCTTTATGTCTGCAGAGGAAACAAATACACACGCCAGGGTTTGGAACAATTTCATTCAAAACACTTCAATCAAGTCTTTCTAACTGTTTCACATTTCCAGAGCTGTTCTGTAACATCTCAAGTGACAAGTGAATTCTGTAAATAGTGCATTTTTATTTATATAATATGACTGAAAAGCTTTTTCCTCCACCAAACATCTACAGTATAAGAAATTAACAGACCTTTTAAGAACAGGAAAGACCTGCCTAAAATTCTACTATGTACAACTTTACACCTGTCAGTAATAGACTATAAAGCAAACTATTTGTTCACAAGCAAAATAAAACTAAATTGTATTTCCTTTCTGTGAACTGTTATTACTCTCATATATGACCTATCATCATCTTCAGGTCTGTTAACAAGTGTGATTTTGTAAACATGCATCAATGAACTGCTTCTTAAACAGTGAATGTGTTGGCGGCCTGCAGGGTTGTGCAGCACGCTTGAGCTCTGGCAAATGTGACGATGTATCCAGTTTTCAGGTATTTCTGCTGTTCATTTATATAATCTAGGATATTAATCATCTGCAAATTTCCAGATGGTTATAGACAGTCTACTCTCTCCCCCACTTCTCTACCCTTCATGTTGCCCCCAATAAGAGAGGAAGCTGGACTGACCGCAGGCTCTTGGACTGGCTCTGGACCGTCTCCAGCTGATCTATCTTGGCTGTCAGTTGGCGGATTTCAGCCTCCAGCTCTTTCTGCGTCTGGTCCACCTGCTGACAGAGCCGAGCAAAGGTCGTGGCCATCTCCCTGGCAACACAGAGGGCACAGCGTCTCAGTGCTTATTTATTTAGCCCTGCTACAGAGGGGAAGAATGGGTGGGGCACAGAGGAGGGTGGGGCAGGGATGTGTGTGTGCGCAAATAAGGAACATTATGGGGAGTCAGGCTTTGTCAGTGGGTTAAATACCACTGGCAGAAAACTGAGGAAGGGTGCAGAGAAATGAGCATCTTGATGCGAAGCTAAACATTGTGGGACTGAATGTGCTGCATGTTAAAGGATTATTCCACCCTTTAATACACATGGATTATCCATGTCTGATATTTAGTTAAGTTACAGTACAATAAGAGTACAAAGTATATCACGAATGGCAAAATGTTACGTGTTAAATTCATTAATCTCACTGTATATCGAGCACACATTTCATGTACTGCGTAATGTCTTCGACTACGACACGCT